TGACACAGACATAAAACAGACATGACACAGACATAAAACAGGCATGAAACAGACATCAAACAGACATGACATAGACATAAAACAGACATGACACAGACATAAAACAGACATGAAACAGACATAAAACAGGCATGACACAGACAAAAAACAGGCATGACATAGACATGAAACAGACATAAAACAGGCATGAAACAGACATGACACAGGCATGACACAGGCATGACATAGACATGACACAGACATAAAACAGGCATGACATAGACATGAAACAGACATGACACAGACATAAAACAGACATGACACAAACATAAAACAGACATGACACAGACATAAAACAGGCATGTCACAGACATAAAACAGGCATGACACAGACATAAAACAGACATGACACAGACATAAAACAGACATGACATAGACATAAAACAGACATGACACAGACATAAAACAGACATGAAACAGACATAAAACAGGCATGACACAGACATAAAACAGACATGACACAGACATAAAACAGGCATGAAACAGACATCAAACAGACATGACATAGACATAAAACAGACATGACACAGACATAAAACAGACATGAAACAGACATAAAACAGGCATGACACAGACAAAAAACAGGCATGACATAGACATGAAACAGACATGACACAGACATAAAACAGGCATGAAACAGACATGACACAGGCATGACACAGGCATGACATAGACATGACACAGGCATGAAACAGACATGAAACAGGCATGACACAGACATAAAAAAGGATGACACAGACATGAAAGAGGCATGAAACAGTCATGGCATAGACATGAAACAGGCATGACACAGAAATGAAACAGGCATGACACAGACATGATACAGGCATGAAACAGACATGACACAGGCATGAAATAGACATGACAAGGACATGCCACAGACATGACATAGGCATGAAACAGACATGACACAGGCATGACACAGGTATGAAACAGGCATGAAAATGACATGACACAGGCATGACATAGACATGAAACAGACATAACACAGACATGACCCAGGCAGCACACAGGCATGACACAGACATGACACAAGCAAGAAACAGGCATGAAACAGGCATGACACAGACATGAAACATACATAACACAGACATGAAACAGACATGACACAGGCATGACACAGGCATGAAACAGACATGAGACAGACTTGATACAGGCATGAAACACACATGACACAGGCATGAGAAAGGCATGACACAGGCATGACATAGACATGAAAGAGGTATAAAATAGGCATGAAAGAGGTATGAAATAGGTATGAAATAGACATGAAAGAGGTATAAAATAGACATGAAAGAGGTATAAACTAGGTATGAAAGAGGTATGAAATAGGCATGAAAGAGGTATGAAATAGACATGAAAGAGGTATGAAATAGGCATTAAATAGGAATGAAATATACATGAAAGGGGTATGAAATAGGCATGAAAGAGGTATGAAATAGGCATGAAAGAGGTATTAAATAGGCATGAGAGAGGTATGAAATAGACAAGAAAGAGGTATGAAATAGACATGAAAGAGGTATGAAATAGGCATTAAATAGGAATGTAAGAGGTATGAAAGAGGTATGAAATAGGCAAGAAAGAGGTATAACACAGACATAAAACAGGCATGACACAGACATGAAACATACATGACACAGACATCACACAGGGATGAAACAGGCATGACACAGGCATGACATAGACATGAAACAGACATGACATAGGCATGAAACAGACATGACACAGACATGAAACAGGCATGACACAGGCATGACACAGACATGAAACAGACATGACACAGGCATGAAACAGGCATACATAGACATGACACAGGCATGACATAGACATGAAACAGGCATGGCACAGACATGAAACAGACATGACACAGGCATGAAACAGTCATGAAACAGGCATGACACAGACATTAAACAGGCATGACATAGAAATGACACAGACATGACACAGACATGAAACAAGCATGACACAGGCATGGCACAGACATGAAACAGACATGACACAGGCATGAAACAGTCATGAAACAGGCATGACACAGACATTAAACAGGCATGACATAGAAATGACACAGACATGACACAGACATGAAACAGACATGACACAGGCATGAAACAAGCATGACACAGGCATGACATAGACATGAAACAGACATAACACAGACATGACACAGGCATGACACAGACATGACACAGACATGAATTAGACATGACACAGGCATGAATCAAGCATGACACAGGCATGACATAGACATGAAACAGACATAACACAGACATGACACAGGCATGACACAGGCATGACATAGACATGAAACAGACATGACACAGACATAAAACAGGCATGACACAGACATAAAAAAGGCATGACACAGACATGAAACAGGCATGACACAGGCATGAAACAGGCATGAAACAGGCATGACACAGGCATGAAACAGTCATGAAAATGACATGACACAGGCATGACATAGACATGAAACAGACATAACACAGACATAACCCAGGCAGCACACAGGCATGACACAGAAATGACACAGGCATGAAACAGGCATGACACAGACATGACACAGACATGAAACAGACATGACACAGGCATGAAACAGGCATGAAACAGGCATGACACAGGCATGAAACAGGCATGACACAGACATGAAACATACATAACACAGACATGAAACAGACATGACACAGACATTACACAGGCATGAAAATGACATGACACAGACATGAAACAGACATGACACAGACATCACACAGGCATGACACAGGCATGAAAAAGGCATGACACAGGCATGACATAGACATGAAAGAGGTATAAAATAGGCATGAAAGAGGCATGAAAGAGGTATGAAATAGACATGAAATAGGTATGAAATAGACATGAAATAGGTATAAAATAGGTATAAAATAGGCATGAAAGAGGTATGAAACAGGCATTAAAGAGGTATTAAATAGGCATGAGAGAGGTATGAAATAGGCAAGATAGAGATATGAAATAGACAAGAAAGAGGTATGAAATAGGCATGTAAGAGGTATGAAATAGGCATGAAAGAGGTATGAAATATTTATGAAAGAGGTATCAAATAGGCTTGACAGAGTTTAAGAAATATATATGAAAGAGGTATAAAATAGGCATGAAAGAGGTATGAAAAAGAGGTATGAAATAGGCATGAAAGAGGTATGAAAGAGGTATGAAATAGGTATAAAGAGGTATGAAACAGACATGAAAGAGGTATGAAACAGACATGAAAGAGGTATAAAATAGGCATGCAATAGGCATGAAAGAGTTTTAAAATAGGCATGAAAGAGGTATAAAATAGGTAAGAAATTGGCATGAAAGAGGTATGAAATAGGCATGAAAGAGGTATGAAATAGACATGAAATAGGTATAAAATAGGCATGAAAGAGGTATGAAATAGGCATTATAGCGGTATTAAATAGGCATGAGAGAGGTATGAAATAGAAATGAAAGAGATATGAAATAGGCATGAAAGAGGTTTGAAATAGGCATGAAAGAGGTATGAATAGGCATGAAAGAGGTATGAAATGGACAAGAAAGAGGTATGAAATAGGCATGAAAGAGTTATGAAATAGACAAGAAAGAAGTATGAAATAGGCATGAAAGAGGTATGAAATAGACAAGAAAGGGGTATGAAATAGGCATGAAAGAGGTATGAAATAGGCATGAAAGAGGTATGAAATAGACATGAAAGAGGTATGAAATAGGCATGAAAAAGGTATGAAATAGGCATGAAAGCGGTATGAAATAGGCATGAAAGAGGTATGAAATACGCATGAAAGAGGTATGACATAGGTATGAAAGAGGTATGAAATAGGCATGAAAGAGGTATAAAATAGGCATGAAAGAGGTATGAAATAGGCATGAAAGAGGTATGAAATAGGCAATGAAAGAGGCATGAAATAGGCATTAAAAAGGAATGAAACAGGCATGAAAGAGGCATGAAATATACATGAAAAAGGTATGAAATAGGCATGAAAGAGGTTTGAAATGGACAAGAAAGAGGTATGAAATAGGCATGAAAGAGGTATGAAATAGGTTTAAATAAAAGCAAGATTCATCTGCGCCCTCGATTTCTGCCTGACATCCCTATAAAAAATGATCGCTGTTTTTTGGTGACGATAAATAGTAGCGTAGTTATTATTAGTGCCGCCATGGACGGCCGAATATTTTTGCAGCTAGACTATTCATTTCACGATACAAACTCTGCAGTTGTCTAAAAATGCCGCACATTTATTTATAAAAAAAAAGTTACACCTGAGTGAACAACTTCATCCTACCGCTTTCTACGCCACTAGCAGGGGCGTAACTAGAATGTTTTGCGTCAGGGGACATGATTTATTTTCACCCCCCCCCCCTTTTTTGAACTCTGAAACTAATTATTTTCAACCTATTAATACCACCAAAGTCCATTTTGGTGCCCCCNGCCCCCTCGCCCCGCCCCCCCCCCCCCCGAAACCCGAAAAGCCCCCCCCCCCCCGGGGGGAAAATGTCTGATGATAAACACTGCTTCTCACATGGTCAGCTGTGTGTGGCCTGCTCACGCTTCGAAAAACCTTCTAATTTATTTGAGTGCGCACCAGACGGTAAAATAAAAAAAAATAAAACAATTTTGTATATAAAAATTAAATTAAAAAGCATAATTAAAACACAATCACTTCATTTCTTTGAGTGACACTGCAACGCATGCCGGGTACTCGCTAGTGTTACTAGCATATAATTAATAATTAACTATCATTAAATGATTTAGATCTTTATTATTATTATTTTCATTTTGTACGCAAATGCATTTTGATATATTTTGGGTTGTTGTTAAATTAATTTTAATATACTAAGAGTTTGATATTAATTAAAACTTACTATTGTGACGATGTTGTATCTTTGACTTGTACTATTGTCTCAACGCATTTCATTTAAACTTGTTAAGGAGATACATTTTGAATAAATGTCGCACATATCTTAGATTTCGGTAAATTGTAGTAGAGTAGAAGTTTTTGATTTTTCAACAATAACAAAGATGACAGAGGTTAGTCTGGATTATAATTTAAATAAATGTGGCTTCATCCTACACGGTTTTACGATATTAAATATAATTCAGGCTTAAAAAAGTAGTAGTAGTAGGTATATTTTAATATAGTGCAAAAAAATTGAAAGCTCCCTTATTGAATATTATAATATGCACAAGGCTGACAGTTGTTTGGCCAAAGAAAAGAGGTTCATGATCATGTGATCGACCTGGCTTTTGATTTAGTCAATTAATAATTGTACACTTTCCCACATCCACATTGACCCCGTTTTAAATTATTATTATAGTATTTATTTTGCATTATTAGTAATTAAAAGAAAATGAATTTTAGCCTAAAAGTTTATTCAGAATATTAACAATTCTAATAAATTATATTAGACTATTATTATTAGTATTATAATTATCAGACAGTATGAGTATAGTATGCCATTAGTCATGATTAGTATTAGTAGTATAAATAATACTTGGAAAAAAAAAATCACAACTAGGTAAATTTAAAGGACGAATGCCACTATTTTATCGAATTTCACGAATGACGAATGTATCCCTAAATCGATCCCTAGCCCTATGCCTAACCTGAACCCTAAATCGATCCCTCAACCTAACCTAAAAAAAAAGTTGCCTAAACCCTAATTCGCTGCAACTATAATAAACACCCAAAAGACGCCGTGGCATTCGTCCTTTCAATTAGCCCACAACGGTACTATGACTTATGAATGCCCTACTTTAATTGCTTAATTACTTAATTTATTAAATTTAACTAGGCCTTTTAGTAGCCATTACTTAGCAATAAGCAATAATGGTAAATTACAACTTGAAGTTGGTTATAAAAGAATTGTGTTGTTGCGGTTTGAAGTGCTATTTTAAATGTCAATATGGTAATTCTTTTACTTTAAGTTTAAGTGATAATAAGTTAAGCAAAAATTCTTTTATTGATCCAAATCCAAATGAATGGCAATGTGTAATAGTATTCATTTCAGCACACATATATAAAAGACAGAATTTTAAAAACAGAAAAATGTATGTAAACAATTTAATATATGAAAAGAAAACAGAGTTTGAATTTATGTTACCTCCATCAAAAATGTTACAGGACATGAACTCATGCAAATATAAAGGGAAATGATTGCGGCTGGTGCTAAACTGTCTCTTTATTAGTTTGTGCTTTGCATGCATCCTCATATTTTCAACAGTCTGTGTGTGAATTTGGAATCCAAGGTCATTTGGATTGACAAAATTTCGTTATGAACAACAACATTCGTAGAGTCCATGTCTGACCTGGTTTATGGTTGCATAAGCTGCCCATCCGTCTGATGCAATAAGTGAGTCTGGAAGGACTTATCTATCTATGCACCCCTATAACGTGATCACATGTTGGTCTGGTCCTTCAATGAGAAAAAAGTGCCCACTATCTCTTTCTATTCCACCGAAAACCCAGTGGCCCTCTGTACTGTACTACTAGTGGGCACCAATAAAAGCAAAAACCTTTTAAATAGCACTGCAAACCGGAACAACACCATTTTAAATTTTTTTTCATAAGCTTAGATTATTACTGATGCTGAGGCTATTTGATGATTTAATTTCAATTGGGCTTACCCCACTGGCATACATTTAAATAATAAATCTAACATGATGAAGAAATGATTTGACATCTCAGTATTTTATAACTGTCCCTTTTTGCCCAATGCCAGTCACTCACAATTCACATGGTTTATTAATTCAAATTTCAAAGCTTAATTTGGTTGTATATTTATGTAGGAGTTGAAAACCTATCTTCTCAAGTTAATGGGAACGTAAGTATAATAACTTGCACTTGATTTGAATTCATTTATTTATGTAGGAAACTCATAATATATTTAAATAAAACATATAAATTTGCCATTAAGATATTTATGTAAATTTTACAATTGCGAATTGATAGTATTTCAGCATGTTTAAATAATTTACTAGTTAATATAATCTTCCCTTTCAGTTCCAGGGATGACTAAATACACTTTATGTGTAGTATTATCAAAATTCAAGCATATTCTGATAACTAGTTAATTATTTAGTTAAGTTTGATTTTTAAAGTGAGTTAAATACATTGGTAATTGATTACTTTAACCTCCAAAATCCCACCCGAGGTAAAATTTGACCCCATCCTTCTCCGTCAGATATTAAGGAGGAAGATTATGATGATATTAATGACTTTATTCATGACAGTGGTTCTCAACCTTCCTAACGCGGTGACCCTTTAATACAGTTCCTCATGTTGTGGCGACCTCCAACCACAAAATTATTTTGGTTGCTACTTCATAACTGTGTTTTCAGATGGTCTTAGGTGACCCCGGTGAATGGGTTGTAATTGCTGCAGTAAAAACATTGGTCACATATAAACTCAAACATTGGTCACATATAAACTCAAACATTGGTCACATATAAACTCAAACATTGGTCACATATAAACTCAAACATTGGTCACATATAAACTCAAACATTGGTCACATATAAACTCAAACATTGGTCACATATAAACTCAAACATTGGTCACATATAAACTCAAACATTGGTCACATATAAACTCAAACAATGGTCACATATAAACTCAAACATTGGTCACATATAAACTCAAACATTGGTCAGATATAAACTCAAAACATTGGTCACAAAGAAACTCAAACATTGGTCACATATAAACTCAAACATTGGTCACATACAAACTCAACATGCACCAAGAATCAGTCTGAGAGAGAAGATAAAAAGGGAAGAAATTTTGCCCAGCTTTGCATGGGAACTGGTGACACCATTTGGACCACGACTATAATAAATCTCTAGATAACATAAACATCCAAACTGTAATAGCAACTTTGGATTTGTCAATGCTTTCAATGCGAACACTGTGCAGGACATTGTGGGCTACGAGGCTTTTTATCAAGAACGAGAGGTCGGGGTTTATTTATGCAGTGAAAATGTTTTGAAAGGATGTGGACACTACGTATGCAGAGAACATATGACTTGCAAATATGACGAATGTTTGAAAAGGATGTGGACACTACGTACGCTGAGAACATATAACTTGCAAATATGAGAATGAAATTAATAAATTTGACAATGTTGCGTTTTAAACTCTAAAATCTACTTATCACGCATGCTTACCTCAATATAGAGGCAGGAAATATTAAAATAGTTCTGATAAAATGGGCATTATTATTAGGCCTACCTTCAAATATTAAATGTGCAAAGCAATCATTAGTTGCTCATTAAATGAATTAATCTACATATATATACACATATAATGATTTGTTATTTTAACTTCAAATCATACAGAAAAATGAATGTTATAAAACTCTGATATGAAATTATGTCTACCTTTTTGTGATTGGTGAAAAACATACTAATATATTAAATTGGTTGTCTAAGTCTAATTAATTATTTCAATCAAAAGATCCTTGAAGGTGTCTTATCTGCTAGGGTACATACATATTTACTGAAAAACTTTACTACCTAATTTTTTAATATCTACCTTTTTCTTAACAGAGTGGAAGGTCTCCATGCCATTGCAATCACTGATAGGGATGGAGTTGTAATTGTGAAAGGTTTGTTGAATTTTCACATTTACAGTCGTCCCTCGCCACTTCACGCTTTGACTTTCACGCCTTACCCTATCCCGGTTTTTTCAAATATAGTCTCGAACTGACTAATAAGGATGAATGAGGGACGACTGTTTATTGAATAATTGAATATATTTTATGAACTGCATCTTTATAATCTAATAAAAAATTTACTCTTCTGTGATTAAAGAATACAGACCTGTTTACCCTCAAACTCTTAAAATCGTACAATATCAACACAAAATCATTCAAACCATTATCTTAATAATAAAAAATAAACAAACAGTATACATAATGTATACACCTCAAAATCATACAATTTACTCCAAAATCGTAAGAGTAAACAGGTCTGAGAATATGAAAAAAACTCACTGAAAAAGCACTGCAATAAATTTTTATGAAACTAAATTGTCAACTTCTTTATATTTAAATGATTGCTATGATTTTAGGGTTAGAAATTCAACAAGCTGAACCAGTTCATCATTCCCAACAGTGTATAAAATAATTAAAAATTGTTATTATTTTAAAATGAATTTTTTTGTTCAGTTACTGGTCAAATGGCTCCTGATCCAGCCCTGCGTCCACCTTTTCTCTCTGTGTTTGGAGTAATGGCAGAGCAAGCCAGTAAGATGGGCATTGGTTCCAATAAACGAATCATCAATTATTATAGCACCTATCAGGTAGGAGAAATCCCTGACCAGTTACGTCATGAACCTAAACGATTTACCTAATTGCTGTCTATGTTGCTTTTTATTGTTCGAGGTATATGCAGTTGGGAATAAGAAGTTATTAATGTCTCACACATAGAGGCTTTGATGTATTTTGTGAAGAATGAGTAGCTAAACCACATACTACTTACTGCTTGCTCTATTAATAGCACAATTATTTATTTTTAAGAGCTTTTTAAAAAAAAATTTTGCAACATCATATTTCTAAATTTACAGGTTTGATAATGTATAAGTGTAAGGCAAGTACACATTTCTAGCTGTTTTGTAGAAAATAAAAAAACAGCTTGAAATGTGTACAAGCCCTATACATAATCAAACCTGTACAATTTAAAAATATAATGTTGCAAAATTTTTTGTTTTTTAAATTTGCAACAATATATTTCTAAATGTACAGGTTTGATTATGTCAAAGGCATGTACACATTTCTAGCTGTCTGCAGGTGATATTATGTACAAGGCATGTACACATTTCTAGCTGTCTGCAGGTGATATTATGTACAAGGCATGTACACATTTCTAGATGTCTGCAGGTGATAATATGTACAAGGCATGTACACATTTCTAGCTGTCTGCAGATGATATTATGTACAAGGCATGTACACATTTCTAGCTGTCTGCAGGTGATATTATGTACAAGGCATGTACACATTTCTAGATGTCTGCAGGTGATATTATGTACAAGGCATGTACACATTTCTAGATGTCTGCAGGTGATAATATGTACAAGGCATGTACACATTTCTAGCTGTCTGCAGATGATATTATGTACAAGGCATGTACACATTTCTAGCTGTCTGCAGGTGATATTATGTACAAGGCATGTACACATTTCTAGATGTCTGCAGGTGATATTATGTACAAGGCATGTACACATTTCTAGATGTCTGCAGGTGATATTATGTACAAGGCATGTACACATTTCTAGCTGTCTGCAGGTGATATTATGTACAAGGCATGTACACATTTCTAGCTGTCTGCAGGTGATATTATGTACAAGGCATGTACACATTTCTAGATGTCTGCAGGTGATATTATGTACAAGGCATGTACACATTTCTAGCTGTCTGCAGGTGATATTATGTACAAGGCATGTACACATTTCTAGCTGTCTGCAGATGATATTATGTACAAGGCATGTACACATTTCTAGCTGTCTGCAGGTGATATTATGTACAAGGCATGTACACATTTCTAGATGTCTGCAGGTGATATTATGTACAAGGCATGTACACATTTCTAGATGTTTTGTAGGAAACATTCCCAGCCATATTTGCCATTATTATAACAATTATTTGAAAGAAATATTTCTCAGTGAGACATAGTGTTTATCTCTTTTGTTTGCCTAAATATTACAGACTTTTATACAGTAGAACATATGTGTATAAGTATACATATGTTCTAAAATGCCCCGAAGAACAAATTGCAGAAGTTTCCCTTGTCCTTTAAAAGTAAACATCAAAAAATTTTTCAAGTCTAAGTAAATTAAAGACTTGCAATTGATAGGAAATTTAATAAATATTTACATATATACACCTTAATTACTTAATTTTGTTCATTTGTGTTGTATTTTAATTCTTTTTGCTTTGACAATTTCATCCTTGTTTTTATATTATCAACAAAAACACTGTTGCAATAGGAGATTTTTACTTTTCAGTTGAGAAAAGTTGGGAAAAAGTTGGGAATTTTGTTTTTAAAAAAGAGTGGGAACCATGTCTACTGGTATTGAATCCTGTTTTCCTTAACAAAGGGAAGTAGCTCAAACGCAAATGTTTGGTCAATATTATTACTGCTGGTGTTATTATAAAACTGTAAGAAACAGAAGTTCTCATAATTCCTTTTAGGTACTCTAAAATGACAATAGTCCTAATTTAATGTCCCAATGTTGGACTACTTTTGAACGACTGACCTATATTTTCTTTGTTTAAACCAGACAGTACAAGTTAACCATCATCCCTTGCTTCTACACTTCATAGCAGACAAAAATGCTAATACTGGTAAGTTCTTCACATTATTTTACTATCGCTACACAAAAGTCTCGTTTACATTGTGCAGTCTGCTACACAAAAGTCTCATTGTGCAGTCTTTGGTTGGTTGCAGCGGTGACTTAATACAATATTTAATCATTAGATGATGATCATCAATATTGTTCATTGTTTTTTGGAAGGGATTAAAGATTTTTAAGACACTTTTCATCGTGTCTTAGCGTTTCATTGTGTCTTAGTGTTTCATTGTGTCTTAGTGTTGCATTGTGTCTTAGTGTTGCATTGTGTCTTAGTGTTTCATCGTGTCTTAGTGTTTCATTGTGTCTTAGTGTTTCGTTGTGTCTTAGTGTTTCGTTGTGTCTTAGTGTTTCGTTGTGTCTTAGTGTTTCGTTGTGTCTTAGTGTTTCCTTGTGTCTTAGTGTTTTGTTGTGTCTTAGTGTTTCGTTGTGTCTTAGTGTTTCGTGTGTCTTAGTGTTTTGTGGAGTCTTAGTGTTTCGTCTTGTCTTAGTGTTTCGTCGTGTCTTAGTGTTTCATTGTGTCTTAGTGTTTCATCATGTCTTAGTGTTTAGTTGTGTCTTAGTGTTTCATCGTGTCTTAGTGTTTCATCATGTCTTAGTGTTTTGTTGTGTCTTAGTTTCTGGATAAACACGCAGTCAGTAAATTAAAGGGCTGCTTAAATGAATTGTTTGTAAAGAAATATTCTATCTTTTAATGTTACAAGTCATCAAAAACTGTCTATTGTTTGCAGGTCTTATTTTAGAGCTGGAAAATGAACTTGCAGATGTTTTGAAAGAAATTAATAAAGTCGTTGGTATGATGTAGCCAGATGTCCTTCATAAGAACAGATGCGTCTTTAGTATGATGTAGACAGATGTTCTTCATAAGAACCGATGCGTCCCTACCAAAAATTGTATGACTGTGTCCACATCTTCGTTTGGCGCGTGTGTGTGTGTATGATCTCTTGACAGCTGATGTTCACTTTGAGGAGATGACAAAATGTAAATAAATAACAAACTAATATTTTATAATTTAAAAATGAAATTGTTTCAATAATTTGTGAGTAAATTGAAATCCTATCGTAAATTATAAATCAAAGAAAGAGCCAGGATGGCTTTCAGTTTTATAATTGGAGGTGGCCTTTCCCAGAGGTGACCTTTCTAGAGGTTAGAAGTGGCCTTTTTAGAGGTGACCTTTCTGTTTTCTTCAAAACGTTGGATTTAAGTTAGTTTCAATTACATATTTTAATGTCAAACAGTTTTTGAGTTAAAGATATTTGTTTCAACTGTGTAGTGCTACAGCAGTGAACTTACAACATATGGATTGCACTTTCAAAAATTAGTTAGATCTTTTATTTTGACAAAAATAATGGCCTATGAAGTAGAAACAAATGTTTGAAAAAGAAGTTGTTCATCCAAGAACAGAGTCTAATTAACAAATTAAGTAATTCAAATAAGTGGTCTAAATTAAGTATAGTAATATATGGCCTAAATTAAGTTTTGTAATATATGGCTTAAATTAAGTAATGTAATACAAGATCAAGCAATTGTAATATTTGTTAAAAGCTAAGTTTACACTGGAAAAGAAATTATTTGGATTAAATTAATTTTATAAAATTCTCATATCTCCATTGAAAAAAGGTCGTCACACTTAAAAGAACTATATTCTGTCTCATATCTCCATTGAAATTAATTTGATGGCATTATGTAAAAGGTCGTCACACTTAAAAGAACTATATTCTGTCTCATATCTCCATTGAAATTAATTTGATGGCATTATGTAAAAGGTCGTCACACTTAAAAGAACTATATTCTGTCTCATATCTCCATTGAAAAAAGGTCGTCACACTTAAAAGAACTATATTCTGTCTCATATCTCCATTGAAATTAATTTGATGGCATTATGTAAAAGGTCGTCACACTTAAAAGAACTATATTCTGTCTCATATCTCCATTGAAATTAATTTGATGGCATTATGTAAAAGGTCGTCACACTTAAAAGAACTGTTTCCTGGCGTTCATTAGTTTAAATTGGGAAACATGTTCTGTGCCTTTATTCAAATGTTCATCAATATTATATTATATTCTTTTGTGGAAGAGAAAAATATACAAGGATAATATAGGACACAGAGAAGTAAAGTTGAGTAAAATATTGACACCTAGTATAGGATACAGAGAAGTAAAGTTGAGTAAAATATTGACACCTAGTATAGGACACATAGAAGTAAAGTTGAGTAAAATATTGACACCTAGTATAGGATACAGAGAAGTAAAGTTGAGTAAAATATTGACACCTAGTATAGGATACAGAGAAGTAAAGTTGAGTAAAATATTGACACCTAGTATAGGATACATAGAAGTAAAGTTGAGTAAAATATTGACACCTAGTATAGGATACATAGAAGTAAAGTTGAGTAAAATATTGACACCTAGTATAGGATACAGAGAAGTAAAGTTGAGTAAAATATTGACACCTAGTATAGGATACAGAGAAGTAAAGTTGAGTAAAATATTGACACCTAGTATAGGATACATAGAAGTAAAGTTGAGTAAAATATTGACACCTAGTATAGGATACATAGAAGTAAAGTTGAGTAAAATATTGACACCTAGTATAGGATACATAGAAGTAAAGTTGAGTAAAATATTGACACCTAGTATAGGATACATAGAAGTAAAGTTGAGTAAAATATTGACACCTAGTATAGGATACATAGAAGTAAAGTTGAGTAAAATATTGACACCTAGTATAGGATACATAGAAGTAAAGTTGAGTAAAATATTGACACCTAGTATAGGATACATAGAAGTAAAGTTGAGTAAAATATTGACACCTAGTATAGGATACATAGAAGTAAAGTTGAGTAAAATATTGACACCTAGTATAGGATACATAGAAGTAAAGTTGAGTAAAATATTGACACCTAGTATAGGATACATAGAAGTAAAGTTGAGTAAAATATTGACACCTAGTATAGGATACATAGAAGTAAAGTTGAGTAAAATATTGACACCTAGTATAGGATACATAGAAGTAAAGTTGAGTAAAATATTGACACCTAGTATAGGATACATAGAAGTAAAGTTGAGTAAAATATTGACACCTAGTATAGGATACATAGAAGTAAAGTTGAGTAAAATATTGACACCTAGTATAGGATACATAGAAGTAAAGTTGAGTAAAATATTGACACCTAGTATAGGATACATAGAAGTAAAGTTGAGTAAAATATTGACACCTAGTATAGGACACATAGAAGTAAAGTTGAGTAAAATATTGACACCTAGTATAGGATACATAGAAGTAAAGTTGAGTAAAATATTGACACCTAGTATAGGACACAGAGAAGTAAAGTTGAGTAAAATATTGACACCTAGTATAGGATACATAGAAGTAAAGTTGAGTAAAATATGCAATGACACAGGAGTGACAAAGCAAATTAACATTTGGTCTTAACATTTATTCTTGAAAATTGGTAAATACAAATGTCAAAAATTCATATTTTTGTGTTCATTGACCTATACAACAAACATTGAATGTTTCTTTGACCTACACAACAGACATTGAATTTTTCATTGACCTACACAACAAACATTGAATGTTTCTTTGACCTACACAAAAGACATTGAATGTTTCGTTGACCTACACAACAGACATCGAATTTTTCATTGACCTACACAACAAACATTGAATGTTTCATTGACCTACACAAAAGACATTGAATGTTTCATTGACCTACACAACAAACATTGAATGTTTCTTTGACCTACACAACAGACATTGAATTTTTCATTGACCTACACAACAAACATTGAATTTTTCATTGACCTCCTTTGGGGGTCGCGACCCACAGGTTGAGAACCGCTGATCTACTCCTTTCTAGCCATGTTCGGCAGCCATCAGCATTATTTAACGGTCAGAGAGGGGGGTGAGAATGGGTCGATATGGTAGAGCTTGAAGGGATGGTAAATACTAATTTAACTAATACACCAAATGACAATGTGTCCAGGTCCGTACAAAATGTCTGGATCATTTGACCACTACATCAAATGACAATGTGTCCAGGTCCGTACAAAATCTCATATTCAAATTCAATGTACCACTACGTCAAATGCAGCTATGGTCTCAAAGATTTGAATTTTTTGGTTAATATTATTACTTGTGGTATATTATAAAACTGTAAGGAACAGAAGCTTGTAATATTCCTTTCAATATTATTTAACAGAAAGATAATGTTGCACACTTGATAAAACTCATTAACAAATACAATTTCAAGTTTTATTCCAGAAGAGAGATTATTACCAATAAACAGGGACGTCATTTGGGTAGGACAGTGTGGGGAATTTGCCCTCCCTCCCCCGAATTTACAGGTTTTAATTAAATTGCTATATACTGTGGCGCCTCCTGTAATAAACGACTCAACCAGGTTTAGGTTTAACCCCCCCCCCCCCCCCAAAAAAAATCAAACTGAAATGATGCCCCTGCCTGTAAATTATATACACTTCATCGAATTTTTTTTTTTTTTTTTTTGAAATTTATAATATATAAATATTATGTTTACAAAAAGATTTTAGTGAAAGGGAAAATAAAAGAACATATCATATAACAATGATCAATCGAAGCTCGTTACAAAATTCCAAACAAGACGCAGCCTTTGATGAAGGAATTAAATTAATGGATAGGACATGATTTTCAATTATGTTTAATAAAGCGATTAATTTATTAAATAAATGATTAATTCCTAGATCAATTCATTGAATCTTTCAATAATTCTTGATTAAATGTTTGTATAATTGTGTAATTCCAAACATAAAAAATCTATTTTAGACTTTGATTTTGAATGTTATTTTTTTTCCAGGCAATAATTTGAAAATTTGAAACTTGTAGGTCAAAAAGAGAAAAAAATTAATTTCTGTGAACATTTCATTTAACTTCAAATTCGTGACCGAAAAATGTGCCAGCTGTCTCTAAATTTTATAAAATATCTCATTAAAAATTGTATCCACCAATGTCAAGGTTATGACCATTCATCTATTAAAATGAAATAGTATCTCCATTCAAAAGCCCAATAAAGCGCCCGGACCTGATTCTATCCCGAACATTGTCCTAAAGACCCTGGCTGACAACATTGTCCTAAAGACCCTGGCTGACAACATTGTCCTAAAGACCCTGGCTGAGAACATTGTCCTAAAGACCCTGGCTGACAACATTGTCCTAAAGACCCTGGCTGACAACATTGTCCTAAAGACCCTGGCTGACAACATTGTCCTAAAGACCCTGGCTGACAACATTGTCCTAAAGACCCTGGCTGACAACATTGCTCCAACCTTAACCTGCATTTTCCAAAAGTCACTTGACTCAGGCAAACTCCCGCTAGACTGGCTCGATGCAAATATCATAGTGCCCGCAAGAAAGGTGACCGCTATACTACCGCCCAATACCCCTGACATCCGTCCCATGCAAAATTCTAGAACACATCATCTGTCGCCACATCATGAACCACCATGAACACTATAACATTTTGACCAACCTAATCCATGGTTTCCGATCTGGATTCTCAACGGAAACTCAATTAATCATCACCACCAATGACCTCCTAGCCTCCTATGACAAAGGTAAACAGGTCGACATGGCCATTCTCGACTTCTGACACTGCTTCTGTCAAAGCTTTTGACACTGTTCCACACAGCCTTCGTCTTCATAAGCTCTACCACTACGGCATTACCGGCAACTTTCATGCCTGGCTCTCAACATTCCTAACACAAAGGACCATGCTAGTAGTGGTGGATGGTGTCCGATCAGGCAAAGCCACTGTAGTCTCAGGAGTTCCTCAGGGTACAAAGCAGGCGCCCTTCTCTTTCTCTGTCATATGAACGACCTTCCTGATACTTTAAAATCTCAAGTGAGGCTTTTTGCAGATGACTGTCGTACCGGGTAGTGATATATGCACGAAACGATGCATACTTCGATGGCGCCAACGATGGCGTGTTGACTTAATTGAGCTGTCTTCAATCACCACGCTGATTATTAATTGGCTTG